GTCCCTTTAGGTACTGGAAAGCTGCAATTAGGTCACCCTGAAGCCTTCTCTTTTCCCAGCTGAACAATCCTAATTCTCTTAGCCTTTCCTCATAGGAGAGGTGCTCCATCCCTCTAATCATCTCGGTGGCCTCCTCTAGACTTCCTCCTACCACACAGTGAGATAAGTTGGAAGAAGCCTGAAACGTTGAAGACTTCTGTGGCCAAGAGTTAAGCATCTCTCCTCCATGCTCTGTAGTGGCACTCAAATGCACTAGGTTTTCTCCTCCAAGTCACAAAATAAACTTATTCAGTATGCATGATGAACTGCTCTTTAAAAATTAAAGAAATTCATTAAGCAAATCCCATATTTTTTGTAATCTTATAATGCAAGAGAGCAGACTGCTTCCAGAGCACTCATGTGCTATTTTTGCACGCCTCTATCTATATGTGGAAAAAAGACCACAGCCTTTGACAGTGGAGTAGATGGAAAATTATTATCTGGGCAACGGCCAAATCAAAGATGAAGAGACAGTCTATCACCTGAACACTTTTAAAATGTGAAACAAAAATTGGTACAAATAGCTGTGAATTATAAGATGTAAATACAATAATTAATATAAAGAGAAATAAACTGAAAGTGGTTCAATCCATGGCATTTAAATGAAAAGTACCAAAATACCTACAAAACATGCCTGGCTTGGCTGATGCTTTGAAACTTCATCTAGACCTATGGGAAATGAAACATTACCATATACTAAAACACTGGAACAGAGTTTTATTACTATAGTAAATAGCAATATTTCCAGGGGTGGAAAATGAAAACCAAATGCAAAAAAGTTTTCACAATTAGGATGGGGAGGAAAGAATTTTATTGCCTGAGAACACAGTAAGCAAATTAACCTCAGAAGCAAAGTGTCAATAAAGCCAAGTATGTATGTCTACATACATACCCAAAAAGTAAAATCTTTTTCATGCTGTATGAGCAATATTATTACTCAGAAGTAAAAAAAGATAACTATAGAACTGTAAATCAAGCTGTTCCCAGAATTAGAATCTACCATACAGTTCAGTATTTAGCCTAGGCGACCATATGATACTACAGGAAATAAAGGGAATGAAATATCTGAGACAAAAGTTAAGGTCAGTGAACTTTTCTGCTAGCTGCAGTGGATTTAATCATACTTCAAGTGTGATGCCGAAACATCTCTGAACAGTTGATAATGAGAGTTACATAAAAAAGAATAAACCACAACTACACTAAACCAGAAATCATTTGCTAATCTGAATTCTACAGAATTTATTTTAAGTGAGAAAATAGCATGTAAGTGACTTTCAGACTCTAGTATCTCAGATATCACAGTTGAAGGCACATTTAGCCCACAACAGTAATATGGTGGCCTGCACCACTCACATATATGTGATCAGATAATCACATAAAATGTTTAACACACTCAGGTATACACACCAGATTCAGTTGGGCTTTTTTATCTTTTCTTTTCCCTTTTTTTTTTCCTCAGGTTCTTCAAAGGTAAATTAGATTATCTCAGTCTAAGTAAGCTAAATTCAGAGGGAAACGTCCTGTAAACTGCATGCTGTAAGTTGGTACATCTGACTCAGGAGAAGTTGAAAGAACATTTAGCACAGACTGCTTCTAAATTTTGTTCTAGGAATTCAATAGAGAGCTGAACAGCACCAATAAATGTGCCACCTTTACCTACTTTCATTCAAACCTATGTAACTTTGATGAATGGTAGAAGACACAAACCCATATCTGCTGTAAAAGCAGAATTACTTTATAAACTTTAATTGAAGTTTCAGCTAAACCTCCCCCAGGCATTAACTATGATTTTTCTTATGCAACTTTACTGGTTTTTTTGTTTGGTCAGGTGTTTTTTTAATTTTTCCTTCCACTTTTTGTTTCAACCAAGTTGGTGCTTGTCTCCGCAGTCACACATTCCGTATTTAAATCCTACATTTTCCTATTTCTCTTGGTCTTTTTCTTTTATAGTGTTGTTTTTCTTTGCACTTCATTCTGCTACTGTCACAACAGTAACAATATGCTTCCCTGTACACAGCCAGCTACAAAATTCCCTCAGCAGGACCACTTCTTTAAGATTTCAGCCTGTGACTTCCCCCTAATTAACATCACACAGCATCCCCATTAGGAGCACTGAGCAGGAATGGTATTCTCCTTCACTCAAGAAACCATGAGAAATGTTAAACAATTTACTTACAGTAGTTTTAATTTACAACTAACTAGACTTTTGCCTGAATTTGTCTTGCATTTATGGAAAATTAGAAAAAAAGGAATAAGTCAAGGTCAAACTCTGCCTGATTTCTCCATTATGAAAAAACTTGGAAAGAAATGCCCTCCAACAGACCTCTGGCTCATACCACCATACATGCATTCTTCTGTTAGGGGAACACTACTCCTCAGAAAACTGAAATTAGAAGTTGATCTCATCCTCAGCGGTATTTGTCCTTGTTCTACTTGTCCCAGTGTCTAAATTACAGAGCTGGAGCCCCAGTCATCCAATGAAGACTAAGAAAAACCCGCTTAACACAGAGTCCCGTTCTTACTGTTTTTCCATATCAAACTTCTCAGATAATTTCAAGAGCTCACCCAAGCACTTCTTTTTTTCTTTTTTTTTTTTCCCACCCATGTAGCTGACACCAGGCATGGCTGCATTACAGAGCCCAGTATGTCCACGACAGAGTAGATGCTGCCAGAAGTAACAGCTTCCTCAGGTCCTGCTAGTGAAGTCCACAGCAGTAGTTGTTACTGTCAAATAATACAGGCCTGGCACAACATCAGTGAGGTTACCTTCTGAAAATTACATTTGTAATACAGCCTTCCTTACTTTTCTGGTCCTAATATTTGTTTCTAACAAAATCAAAACCAACAACAGAAAAGTCAAACCCTAACCAAACAAAGATTTTTCCCCTTCCCATGTAACACATCATGTATGAGTGACTTCTACATAATATAAAACATACAAGACTGTATTTCTACAGGTGGCTCTTACAGATCTGAATGAAATTCTGCTATCTAGAGAGGATTACATTTACCAAAAAAAAAACCACCCACAAACAAATAACCTATAATGAAAGTTTGATCCCATCTAACCGAAGGTCTACAAGACACAAGAAAAAACTCTCTCATTAGCCTAATACTCTGGATCTAGTCTCAGCCTAGATGAGTACTTAAAAATATAATGGATGCATGTAGTCCCATCAAAATCAGTGAGACAATGCACATTTAAATATGTATTAATTATTAACTTTGAGAGCTTTTCTAGACAAGAGCTTTGTTCTACTAATATTAAAGCACCAGAATTTTAACTGGCTTCAACCACAGTATTATAGTCACAGCCAAAAGGAAACTTTTCCAATGACAGTGAGAGAAGTATTTTCATGCAAGTGTAACTTTGCAATTTAAAAAAGAAATCAAGTAGAAAAAAAAAATCTTTGTTCTTGCTCCTAAAGAATACTTATTTATACTGAGCTCACACAACAAACTATTTATGAAGGAAAACAAATTTTACTGTATTTGACAGTTATAGTGCTATAAACTTTCATCTAGACCAAGCTCAGATTAAAAAACCTTTTAAGTGTCACTAAAAAGGCACTAGAAAGCTCTATCTACTATTTTGTTATTAAGTCAGTACCATATCAACTATAAACCTGAAGAACAATAAACATATTTGAAACACAGGCTGTTACGACTTGAACTTGGCACTACAAATATTGAAAGCTGCACCCGTAACCCTCTGCACACCTCATTCCAGCACAGCTGCAGGGACAGACAGCTCACAGATAAAATGGATATCATTATGAATAAAAGTGTCAGATCATTCAGTAATTGTTACTCAAACAAAGCAGTACAGAAGAACTGCAGAAATTCCCTCATAAATTGGTCACCCACGGTTTTCCCTTCCTTGTGGAAGAGTGCCATTTAAAATGCACAACCTTGGGATGGAAATCCACAGTACTTTAAAGGCTTCTAACTTCAGGGTGTCAATCACATGAAATGTGGATTTTTTTTTGGCCAGTCCCTTCCAGAATGGGCTCATTGTACATTCAGACATATAGCATATGAAGCCACACACCTCACATGCAGAGCCAGCTGTGGACCTTGTGAGGGCTGATGTTCTAGTACCTCCCTGGCTCATAGTACCTTGGGAATTATGCCAAGACAGTGCAATTTTAAAAAGTCCCTCAAAGCCATAACAGTTTCATCTCTTTAGTTCACTACCAATTGCAGATGAGTCTGAATCAGTGGTGTGATGGTAAAGAGTTTATTATTTCTCTACCAAGGCTCATTTTTAGTACTTTCTAACAGAGAAGGCCCACGCAGAGAAAGCATATCCAGCAATTTCTGCAAAGGAGCTCGATACAGACAGACTCAGATAATGCAGCCATCACTAGGGACCACGAGAGGCTGATAAGGAAGGATAAAGGAGCAGAACAGAAAGCTTAACAGGCGTCTCCAAGCGTGCTAGATAAGAATCATTCCCAAGGCATGCAAGTTAGAGTCCACTGGGAAGGAAAAACAAACAAAAGCTAGTCTCAAACTACACACAGCTTCCAAGATGCCTGTAGTTTTGCTCACTGATCTTTTGATTGCCTTTATCAAGAAATGCCTGTCTTTGCTTCATGCTGCGTACATATGAAAAATTACATCTACCTTCATCTTAGGTGCTGCCTGCAGGCAAGAAACTTGTCTTACACAGCTCTCTCATCTTCCAGGGTGACTTCTCACACCCACATTAAAAGTCCTCTTAAGTACTTGTTTGTATAGTAAATCTAAGAGGAGCCAAAGCAGAGGCAGAGCTGCCTTCTTTAACAAGAACTTCCACATTAGAGGTTTTGTTTTTGAAGCACCAAAGTTTCTTCCTACTGAGAACGTAACCATATAATTTGAATTCTCAAGCTATTCACTATAGCATGGCACAGAAATAAGAAGTGCAATGTAATTACAAAAATACCCATACATAATCACTAAAAGTGAGTGCATACCTTCCCTGATAGCGGTAAATGGGGTTCCTTCCTCTTCTTGTAATCTAATCACCTTCAATGCCACCAGCTTTCCATTTACCCTGAAAGGGAAAGAGGGGAGGGGAAGGAGAAATTAAATAAAAAAAATTATCATAAAAACAGTATTTCTCATACTAGAACTTGTTTCTCATCACATACTTATCCAATTTCTTCCTGTCAATGCCAGTGATTCATTCCACTGTAGAAACATTTCATAGCTTCCATAATGTCACTTTTATATTTTCACACTCAGATGCAATCCAAGAAATGATCTCAGTTTGCTGTGAATCAGTCTGTTTCCTTTCTATCACAGCACTAAACTGAAGCTTTGTTAAGAAGTATCACATCGTAAAATTTGGTTATAAAGTATATGTCCATTATTTTATTAAATATTTCAAAGAAAAAGATATGATTTTCCTTAATTGCTCCACTTGCAGTATATCCAGATCTATACTGATTGCCTCCTTTCTATTGCATGACACATATAATTAGAGCCCTCGAAAAGCTACAAAATTTGAGATGTGAAATAATTTTTAGGTCATTCTGGCCATTTCCTGTTAGAGCAGGATTGTTCCTGAGGCATATTCTTGACTACATGGCCTGGGCTAGTTTTAGGTTATAATGACTTTCATTTATAAGTTTAAAAATATTTTGTGCTCCAAGAGACAAAACTTCACAACAGGTCATTCTAGTGTAAAATCTTTTTGGTTGGTTTCACTTCTAGCAGTCAAAATTTCACCACACATGAATCGCATTCCAGGCCTTGCAAAAAAATCCAGTTGGTTCAGGTTATCCAAATAAAATCTCACAAAAACTAAACAAAGCTGATATCCATTAACCTCCTCAAGAACAAAATAATACTCTGAAACTTTAACAGACTCCCCATGTATGACAAGGAATGGTGAGGTTAAACTACCAAAAAGGCATAATACAGTTGAAAAAAAATTAATATTATTATTGCAATTTCTTTCAGTAAAAGCAAAATTAGTCTTTAGATCTTCAAAGCTCACTCAAGGAAGCATTGGAGCCTCTACATTCCTGTAGTCATGGAGGCAATTCCCTATTGTACGAAGCCCTAGAAGATGTGGGGTTTGGTTTTTTTCAAAGCAAGATGATATGGAAACCCACCAACCCTGAATTCATCTTCTCCCTGAGGTTTTCAATTTTTGCAGTTATATGACCTCAATTATGGTGGCTACTGTCTTGTTTCTTCTGATTCTTCTTCTTTTGCCAAAAACTCATTAGCCCTATACAGAACATTGCATAACGACTCTGAGCATCTTAAGAAATCAGCTACCAAAAGATGGTTTACTCATCACCTTCCAATTATTCATAGTACTTCAGGCTGGCATCAGTTGAAGTCTCAGGCCACTAGTCACTGTTGAAAGACAATTATCAGCTTAATCCTACTGGATTATCTGGATTTCTCCTTATAATTACCTTAGGTATTTTTTTTGTTTGGATTTAAACAAGACTTCTGGCATCAGAAGAAGATAAGCCTTGCCTCAAGTAACTTCATGTGTCATGCTCAGACAGGAGAATAAACCATCATAAAAGCAGAAGGATTGATGACACATATACATGACACATATATATGACACATATACACATGTAGTTTTCAATTGCTCTGTCAATACACCACCCTGCCTATCACATACATATCACCTAGATATCTGGATAACTTGAATATTTTACAACAGATGAAAAAACTGTGCAGAAGGAATTTAAACAAGAAAGGCAAGAGCATTTTGCAGATCAAGAACAGGATAAATGCTGTGTTCAGAGAAAGCAATGAAGAATACAACGGAAAAAAGCACACTAAGGAGGTATTAAGGGAAGAGGGATGTGGAGTCTTTTGCCAGAGAGACAGGTAAATAGCATGCAGGATTGTGTAGATTATGTTCTTTTTAATCTAAAGTTCAACATTCGATTGATTCACGAAGAGCAAAAAATAACACAAATAGCAACAGTATGGAACTAATTTCAAAGAATTCACAATTAAACACAGTAGGTGAGCTGTGCTATTTAGTTATCATTGCCACTTTGTCATTGGTACCTGTCATCATCTTGATAGACATCATGGCAACTCAACACTATCAAAGTGATCAAACTAATCTCAAGTAGTGTTCCTCTGGGATTTCATTCTCCTCTTTACCATTATTTATCTCCAATATATCAATCTATAATTTCCATAATACAACAGGCTCCTTATTTTCATTTACTACCCAGTCATTAAAACCTTCTTTATTTTCAGCTCATTTTCTATAAACTGGAGCATATAAAATTGTAGGTATGAGAAATTATGAAATACCATTAAAAGAGATAGGGTTTATATTCACATCCTTTAACTATCCTCCCACTGATGCAATCTCAGGATGCAGATAGATGATGCTGAAGAGATGAGCTAAGGGCTGCCTCAGGGTATGGCCTTCCTCCTGCTAAATCCCTGCCACACACTCCTGCTACTGTCTTGTATTTGTCTTGCTTCTGCTAGACTCTACAGTGAGACTGCTTGGAGAGCTTAAATAAGAGAAGACTGGCCCTTCCAAAAAGAACTAAATCATATTAAAAAAAATAAAATTAGAAAAGCATGATAAAATTGAAGAACACTAGAAAATATATGAGAAGAACTGGGTCCACCTTTTGAGAAGCAATGCGTCATGGGATCAAGCCAGTTAGATCATGAAATTATGCCCTGAAACTTGCAGTGCCATGCCAACATAATGTGGCAATTTCCTTAGAAACAACATTGAAAAACCGAGACCTGGATAAAATTACCTCTGCAACTTATCAATACTTGTCTTTGCAGACTTCAGTAGTGATCAGACAAGGTTAGCAGAATTCCTTCCCGGTACTACTTCATATTTGTCTTCCACAGCATTCAAAGTATGCTCAGTATTTTCATTATTTTCAAATGCAAGCAGAAAAACTGACAAGGAGACTACCTTGTAGACAGTCAAAAGGCAACACTGCTGCTTCTTTCAACTTCTGGGATTCATTAAACCACCTCTATTACTCACTGTCCAAAGCAAACAATTCACACCTCAGAACAATACACTTCACTGGGTCAAGGATTACACTTATCATCTTATGTCTATCCTGTCAACTGCCTCATTAGATTCTAATAAGGACAATATTGACTAAAAAATTCCTATTTTCTAACTTACAACCCATCCTCCCTCCTAAACTAATGCTCTTTCTCTCTCTCACCATTTTAATGTTACATAATCTCTTCTAATATATATGCAATGTAGGCAAAAGAAAAATTAGTCCAAATTACTCTATGTGGCATAAAGTAAAAGTCTGCATATTATAAAAAATACAAATAAGCCAGATATTACAAAAAATGCTAATATGTCATTCTGCATTTTCTGAAACAGCATCTATCACTGTTACAGAAATAAATACATTTATAAAAAATGACCATTTATGAGAAAGTAGAGAAGATTAGAAATTATTTAATCCTTTAATGCACCATTAAGAATATACAACACTGATAAATATAAAGTAACTGATGACTTAATTGACTTCATTGGGGATAATGCTGATGATGCCACATAGAGAACAAAAGAGTATAATAACATTATTTTCTCAAGTTCTTCAGATATATTTAGATGAAATAAATATACACATTTAAAAGAGTCAATTCACACAAAATCTGCCACTCTGATTTGAATCTATTTATTTAATACTGAGTTTTACCACTGGCTGGAGCTGAGGCTGAGCTCATAACTTGAGCAAGTGCTAAGCTTAGGAACATTTCTATAATGAAAAATCAGTAGACGGTGTTGGGATGATGCTCTAGTTTGTGATACACATTTCAAGAAACTAAATCTTATGAAGAAAAGTAACTCTCAATTGTTAAATATTCATTTGCATGAAAAGCTCAAAGTTTGATGATCAAACATTGAGAATATCTAATTAGATCTACTCCATAGCAATATTAATGTTATAAACAGACATCTAAAACCCCAAATAGACCATGAGGGCCTAATGAAACCAGGCTCTGACAGAATTTTCCTTTGAAGAAACCTGACAGAGGCACATTCACTGTAGGTTTAGTCGCCTCTGATTATTTATACCAACAAATAACTAATTCCACATTGAGGTAAGCACTTCTTTTAATCATTATCATAAAAGGCAATTCAGTGTAAACATGGTTTATATTATATTTTTCTTACTAAAAAGGACTTACATTTCTAGTTTACAAAAGCCGCTCACAGTCCTGCTAAAGCCCTATGGTATAAATACTCAAGGGACTAACACAACCCCTGCATTTCTCTTTTTAAAAGATGGTGATCTTTTAACCTCATCCTAGACAAAAGTTACCTTGTTTTAGAGGAAGCTGGTGGATAATGCTGATGTTTATTAGAGCCGAAAAACAGAAGATCAAAGAGTTCCAAGAGAGAAGAAGGATTTAAATTATTAATTAGTGTTGTCACTGTAACTCAGGAATCCTGTTCTTCACAGGACTCAAGGCAGTCACAAACAATGTGGCAGCCCTCACTTGAACAGGAGCAGGTGAGCATTTAACTCCAGGTCCCCCGTTCCTACCTCCCAGCCCACATCAGTTCAAACTAATCATCAGCTCATCTAAGCACAGGGGCTGTACTTGACCTACACCTGCTGGAATCAAATCACCTGGGACTGGCAGCAGGAAGGCAATACTGAGCACCAGTCCTTCTCCAGATGCCTCATATCTCTCTGGGTCCCACTGATGCTCATATAAAGAAAATTTGGAGACAAATAATGATTTTGCTTATAAGTGAATTGGCCTCTTACAACTGTGCACACTGGTGGTCACAGGGGATCTTCTGAGAGATAACGTTCCTTGGCTAAGGAAAATACATTGGTGCACAATGGCGTTTAGTTGGCAAATTACTTCAGTGGTTGCTCTACTATTCCAATCATACATATATACATGAGAGCCAATAAATTACTACCCAATAACTCTACCAGGTGTATCTAATATAACTATGTTCTATTCCAGTTTTTCTACCAAGTTTCCTTGGACAATCCTGGACAAGTAATAAAATACACTTTCTTTCTTCAGTTTTGTCCC